TGTCTTACAACATTATTTTAAATGACTTTTTAATAATATTTGTATTTTATGAGCACCAACATTTTGTGTAAAACTATGGTTTTATAGAGAATAGTTTAACTACTAATCCTGTTTTGAAGGGCAAAGCATATCTCACAGAAAAATGTTAATAAAAATTTTGGGGTGGGCATTTGACATAGCAGTTTACTCATGACTTGGGGCACTCATCTTCCATGGCAGTGTTCCCAGGTTTGCACCCCATCACCACTCCAAATTCCAGCTTCTGTGCTAAGCACAGAGATTTCTTATACTTGCAACTTTGGATCTGAAGTACTTTGAATAACAAAGAACCTTTTTTTTAGTTTATTGTAATCCTTATATGATTTTGTTTTTTAAACATTTTCTTTGGTTGCATTGCACAATGTAACTACTTATGCAATGTGGACTTTGCATACATGTTTGATTTGTCCTTTCTTACAATTCAGTTTTTAAAAGATTTATTTATTTATTTGAAAGGCAGTGTAGCAGAGAGAGGGAAACACACACACACACAGAGGCAGTGGGGGCAAGTGGGAAGAGAGAGATATGCCATCTGTTTTAACTCCTCAAATGTCTGCAACATCTGGGGCTGATGCTAAAGCCTAGGGTGGCAGACACCCAAATACTTGGGCCAGCTGTCTCCCAAGCACATCAGCAAGACGCTGGAGTGGAAATGGAAGCAAGGACCCAGTTCCAGGCACTCTGATTTGGGTTATGGGTGTCCCAAGCTGTGGCTTAACCCACTGCACCATAATACCCTCTCCCTTAAAAGTTATTCTAAATAAAAGTCAATGAATGGTTACCTTTATATTTTTAAGTTATCCCTATTTTTTAAATGTCATGCAATTAGGAACTTTTAGGAAAGGATTCTTTTATCTATGAAATAATCAAAACTCCCCTCTTTTCACTTGATCTATAGTCACAGCTGTTAAAACATAAGAAAGCCAGAAAATAGTGAGTAGTTTAAATCCAATAAAATGAATTAACTTTGCTCTTAGAATAAAGCTACAGTTTTTTTTTCTATAAAGGAAAAATCTTTTGATGTCCCAAGTAAAATTGAATTTTGCCCTTTAGATGATGTGATTTTTAAATATTTTAAAAATATGTTCTAGTCCATGGAGTTTTGAAATGCAAATTGATTTTGTTTATTTGCCCAAATCAAACTAATAAAGATAGGTCAATTATGTTGCCATAAATCACTCTAACTTCAGCAAAATGTTAAATCTCTCAGCAAGGGGCCAGAACTGTGGCATGGTAAGCTAAGCTTCCACATGCATCCCATGTGGGCACCGATTCAGGTTCTGGCTGCTCCACTTCCAATCCTGTCAAAGGCCTAGGAATGCAGTAGAAGATGGCCCAAGTGCATGGGTCCCTGCACCCAAGTGGGAGTCCCAGAGGATGCTCCTAGCTTTGGATCGGAACAGCTCCGGCTATTGAGGCCAATTGGTGTGTGAGCCAGTAGATGGAGGACCTCTCTGTCTCTCCTTCTCTCTGTAACTCTGCCTCTCAAAGAAATAAATAAATCTTAAAAAAAAAATCAGCAACTCCATTCCACTTTCAACTTCTTCCTATTTTATCTCCTTCCCTGTCCCATACCATCCATCAGGGAAACTGAGAATTATTCTCAGACACTTCCCTCCTTTCCTTGGCCCCTCTCACCTTGCAAGTTCCCAATCCTGGATGAATGCAACCATCACATTCTTTGCTCTTGTCATCTTGCCAAATGTGGTTGGGAAACATTTTCAGAATTGCTGTTGTATCTATTACAAGGCAACGTTTCAGTAGCTGCAGCAACTTGTATTTTGCATCTAATCTTCCTAGTAGAAATTTCAAATTTATCAATCTAACTTCCAGTGCATCTTCTTTTCCACTCTGCTCCCTCAAGCGTAATCTCTTCTGACTTTCCTCTCCTCTACTTGTCTGTCTTCAAATAGTCTGTGTTTTATATCAGGAGAAGTTGTTCAATCCCATTAAGTTGGCAGGTACCAGTGCCATCTTACTAGTTAATGTGATCAGTTTAAGTTCATAACTGATCATAAAGATAGGATTAAGTGTCAAAGGGATCACATAAATAAGACCAGTGTGTCGCTCCCCCTCTTCGTGGAGGAACGACACAGGACCCTGCGTTGTTCTTTCATCTGCTCGGCCCTCCCCGAGTTTGCTGTTGGTTCTTCCCGGGTTGGCTACCGACCCTCCACCTCCATGGAGGGGCGGGCCCCCTGCCACTTTTCCCCACTTCCGCAGGGGAGCGGCACACCGCCGGCCGGCTCTCTCGGGGGCTGCACAGGTGTTCCTTCAGATAGATGTTCCCCTTAGATGTTCCTGGTGCATGTTGTCTCTCTCCTCCTTTATAGTCCTCTTCACCAATCCCAACTCTGCTACCCACACGCCGAGTACGCTGCTCTCCTCCAATCAGGAGCAGGAGCAGCTCCTGGAGGTCATCACTCAAGTTGGCAAGAGGCAGCTGCGTAGAAGCTGTTTTCTCCTCTCCCAGTGCCATATTGTGGGAGAGCAGATGCATAGAATAAGTCTTAATTCCAGTAACTCAGTCCAGTCCGGGTTGCTCCCCACACCAGTGTCTGCTAATAATAATTGAAAGAATTAAAAGGAGAGAATGATCCAACATGGGAAGCGGGACACACAGCAGACTCATAGAATGACAAATGCCCTAAACAGAACTCTGGCCTCAGAATCAGCCCTTAATGCATTCAGATCTGGCTAAAAAGCTCATGAGAGCATTTCAGGCATGGAAACCAAGACATTGTGGCAAAAAATGATCTACAAGAAAGACCTCTGTGAGTGAGATCCCAGTGGAAAGAAGGGACCATCAAAGAAAGAGGAGAGAACCTCCACTTTGATTATGGCCTTGTCTAAATAATGTCAGAATTTGTGGACTCAAGAGGCTTCTATAGCCTTGGAAGCTCATGACAAGAGCCTCAGGTGACTACTGACATCATAAATAAGAGTGTCAATTGTTAAATCAACAACAGGAGTCACTGTGCACTTGCTCCCCTTGTAGAACCTCTGTCCTTACTGTGTTATACTATAAGAATTAACAGTAAAACTAGTCTTCAAACAGTACTTTTTACTTTGTATGTCTGTATGGGTGCAAACTGTTGAAATCTTTACTCAGTATAGAGTTGATCTTCTGTATATAAAGATAATTAAAAAATGAATCTTAATGAAGAATGGGATGGGAGAGTAGGAGGTGGGATGGTTTGGGGGTGGGAGAGTGGGCATGGGGGGAAGAATCATCATAATCCAAAAGTTGTACTTATGAAATTTATATTTAATAAATAAAAGCTTTCTATTAAAAAAGAAAAAAAAAACAAAATGTCAAACTAAGAATAATATTACTATGTGAATAATTCCATTTCTAAATCTTTGGTAATACATTTGGAAGCTTGGGAATGTGTTATTTTCTTCTAACATTATATAAGCCAAATTTTATATATCTGCATTCCATTTCAACTCATTGATGAATAACTACTTATGTTAATTCCTCTGAATTCATGCATTTTGGAGAGTATTCATCTGTTTTCTATTGGCAGAAATCTAACTCAAAATAGTTTAAGAGAAAGAACATTGCACTGGGTTATAGAATAGCTTTTGCAGCTAAACTATATGAATGGAAGAACATTTAAGCATCAATCATCAGAAACAAACAAACAAAAACGCTGCTAGGACTATTTGCCAGAACAACTGTCAGGAATATTATTTGCATTTTAGCTGTTTTTGTTTTTCTTCATCATGAAAACTTTCTCCACATAGTGCGAAAATCAGACACTAATCTTTTCTACCACCAGAGAGAATTTACTTTGATTTCAATCCAATTTCCAAAATCCCAAAAAAGGGACAATGTGAACAAGCTTAACTATAGCTATGTCATACAAGAATATGAAACTCATTGTGCTAATAATATTTGAACATCATTTCTATGTCAGTCACTAAGACAAGTGCTAAGATAATTAGGATTTTTCAAGTTGAGGAGAAAATTGGTAAACAATTATAACAATATGAGAATTCTATAATAGAGATATCACACCATACTTTAGGTTTTACCTTGGATTGAGGCAGGCAATGAGCATTTGCTGAACTTATTTATTTATTTATTTGCCAGACAGAGTTAGACAGTGAGAGAGAGAGACAGAGAGAGAGAGTTATAGACAGTGAGAGAGAGAAGGAGAGAAAGGTCTTCCTTTTCCGTTGGTTCACCCCCCAAATGGCCGCTACAGCCAGCGTGCTACTCCAATCCAAAGCCAGGAGCCAAGTGCTTCCTCCTGGTCTCCCATGTGGGTGCAGGGCCCAAGCACTTGGGGCATCCTCCACTGCACTTCCGGGCCACAGCAGAGAGCTGGACTGGAAGAGAGGCAACCGGGACAGAATCCGGCACCTCAACCGGGACTAGAACCTGGGGTGCCGGCGCCACAGGCGGAGGATTAGCCTAGTGAGCCGCAGCACCGGCCTTAACTTATTTTATATGCATTAGGTGTATTGTGTGTGTATGTGTGTGTATGTGTATCCTGTATCACAAATGTTAACCCAGTTGAAATAATGGTTTATGTGCACCTAATTTATTTTTTGTTTATTCATTTGATTGAGAAATGTAACTAAATTTGAATGTTTTACACCATCATGCAATTTTTATTTATATTTGACTATCCACAAAAGAAGCAATTTTAATATCATGTTAATGGTTTGCACACACACACACACACACACATATATATATGAGTGAGAAATAGGTAATGAATAAGAAATTATATTATTAAAAAGCCAATTTCTGCCAGCTTAAAATATGCCTGGGCCTTGATATCCCTAGACATTTATGAACCTAGGTCTGATCATAAATCATGAGAATAATTACCAAACCCAGAGTGCTGCTGGATTAATTTATCTCTAAAACAACTTTCAGCTGCTTACACACCCATGAGTGTTGGTCTTCTGGGGCCTTTTCTCCCTTGACTGATTACGGATTACAGTTCAATAAGTGCTTTGCTTAAGGATGCTGATTTCCTCAATGTAAGCCTCATTCTCATCTCCATATTACGGTTAAATAAGGACAGTAAGAGTGTAAGTAAGAGGTTCCGACTTGCACATGCTGTCCTTTTGTGGAATTTGCCATGAATGTGTGCCACAGTGATGGAGGGCGCCATAGAGGAAAACAGAAGGACATTAAGATGCAGACTTCAGTCACATTCTACACTTTCCTGGACGTTAGACATTTAAGAAATGTAAGAAAACATTTCTTTAATATTAGAAAAATACTATATATATTTAGCAAATTAAATAAAATGATATTTACTGATCTTGTACAAGATCGTGGACTCTCTTTTTTCTCTTGATTTTAATAGAGTACCTTGAAAAAAAAATAAATTTAGAGAAATATTTAAGACAACCAAGTACAGAAGCCCAGTGTTTGCCACCTTCTCCACAGAGAAACTCAAATCAGGTACTTCTGAAGGTGTGTGTCTGAGGAAGGGCGTATGCATGCAGCAGTGAGCAGCAGGAACGCAGTAAGACACTGAGACCTGGCAGCAAAGTGTTGTAGGATAGGGCACCTGCTTGCACAAAACAGATTAGTTGCAAAAACGCTAGAAGCATCTCCGAGAAAGAGAACGTTAATTTTTCACTGCAGGCCTATAGGAAAAGAGGCCAGGTCATGTTGAAGCCCCAGTCAATCTCTTCGTACAAGAGGAATTGGGAATTCTTGCAGTTAAGGTAAGTGGGGTAGAACTGGGTGCAAGAAAGCAGATCATGGTGGGTGCAGAGGAAGGGTGAGGAAAGGTCTTTGAGCACACTCTTGACAAATCTTGACTTTACAGCCGTTCTAAGTTCAAGGACAGTTACTGAAACGGCACCAGAGGTGTCATTAACATCACAGTGAACTGTAAGGTAATTCTCCAATCAGTCTGGACTGATCTGTGCAGGCTTCAACAACAAGGTTGGCTGTAGCTAGTTCTGTCCAGTTTTATCAGGAATCCTTGAAAGGCAGCACAGCAAATTGTTTTGTATTTTTAAGATTTATTTTATTGAAAGGAGGGGAGGTGGGCAGAGAAATAGAGAGAAAGATATCTTTCATCCACTGGTTCAGTCCCCAAGTGGTTGTAAGCACCAGGGCTGGGCCAGGCCGAAGCCAGGAGCCAGGGGTCCCAACTTGAGCCCTCTTCTGCTGCTTTCCCAGGTGCATTAGCAGGGAGCTGAAATGGAAAGTAGAGCAGCCAGGACAAGACCAGCAACCATATGGGATGCATTGCAGGCAGTGCCTTCAACCTTACACCACAACACCACCCCCAACACAGCAGATTCTTTGGGAAAAAGCAACTATTATGGAATTGAAAGTTACAATGCAATGAGTATGGAAATAATTATTACGGGTTTTTAGGGTGTTAGCTCCTGGAAGCTCCAGATTTGAAGATTGTCCTACTCCCACTGCCTCCCCTCCCCAAAATACATGAAACACTTCTGGTAACTGTTGGAACCTGTGCATACCAGCACTCTGTCAGGATTCCCATGCACCTGTACAGTCTTACTACCAAGGCGTCAGAGCTTCCTGTATACTAGGGATGGTTTTTGCTAAGAGATCTGAGCGTGCAGTAGGGATAGTGCTCTACTCACTGGACAGTGTGCACATCTGCAAGGGTGAACATGCCTGGGACTTTGGACTAACTATGAACAGTGAATAAGTGTGATCACAACAACAGAACAGAGGAGGGCTTACAGACTAAACTCTGTACCACTAGGCTCAAGGCCATCCCATTGCCGGTACCCAGAGTTTCCACATCAAGCCCATCCCAGGTACCATTTTTGACAGTTTCCAGGACTTGCTGGCACTGTCAAATGTACTTTCTAGGGGTTTTGGCTTGGTCTTTCTGTGCCACACCTACTGCAATATATAATGCATCTTCTTGGGAAATCGACTTTGGTTTTATGTGCTCTGCCTAATGAGGTACACAGTGCACTTGTAAGGGCTTTGGCTTGGGTTTTCCACAGCTTGCCTAAAATAACTTCATACTGGGCTTGCACTTTAAATGCAGCACAAAGCTGCATAATTGGAGCTTTGTCCTGGTTTAGCACGCCACAATCATCTAAGCACATTTCTGGCTTGCTGAGATCTCTGGACAGTTTCTCTGCTCCATCTCACCCAGGTCCAGTGTGCAACTAAGGAATCCAGCCCCACCTTGGAAGCTGCCAGGTTTTTATGTCCCTTAAAGGCAAGTAATGTGCTGCTCATCTGCAGCTCCAGGTTGGAGCTACTGTATTCCTCCCAGATGAACATGCATCCCATGGAAAGTGGTCCAAGACTGCTTGTTCTGCTGTTGCAGAGCCACAGTCACTCTCATAGACCAGGCACTCTCTTAGCATCAGTAGAAGCCACCTCGTCCACCAGCATAACTACTGCTCCTCAGACCCTGGAATCTAGCAGTGGCTGGGATTCTCCAATACCATCCTGTTCCTGGAGCTAGTGCTAAGCTTTTTTAAGATTTATTTATTTATTTGAAAGGCAGAGTGACAGACAGAAAGACAGCGAGAGAGAGAAAGAGATTGATATTCCATCTGCTGGTTAACTACCCAAATGGCTGTGAAAGCTCAATCTGGGCCAGGCTGAACCCATGAGCCCAGAACTCCATTGGTCTCCCACAGGATCCCAAGCACTGGCTCCATCTTCTTCTACCTTCTCAAGCACATTAGCAGGAAGCTGGATTGGAGAAGCAGAGCAAATGAGAGTCGCATCAATTCCCCAATAGGGGCTGCTGGAATTCCAGGCTGCAGTTTACCCAGCTTTACTACAATGCTGACCCCTCACAATAATCTTAAACTTCAGGCCCTGAGTTGGATATTAGCTGAGAATGTGTGTGTCAGGTCCACACACAGCACCAGCAGAGCCTCCTCCCAACACCTGAAAAGCTCTTGACTCTAGATTCTCCCTTGGAAGATGACTGGAAATCTGCACAACAAGGACTATAGTGACCATAGTGAGCTGCAGTAGCACTCCAGAGCTCAACTACTAATGACATCAACTAACACAAATAAAAGCATAGAAACTATACATGCAGTCAAATTGGCATTAAAGCCAAATAAATCTACCAAACCAATACCAAATGGACAACTTTAGGAAAAGGTCTTCAATGGACTAAAACCATCTGCTGAAAGTGATAGGATTAACTGATGCCACCCATGTGAAAACATGAATTTAAGAACAAAGAAATATGAAAAATCCAGAAAACATCATATCCCCAAATGAAAGTAATAATTCATTGTTGTCAGATCATGAAGAAAGTGGGATTGAAGAAACCTCTCTCCCTTGGTCTCTGCTTCTCTGTAACTTTGCCTTTCAAATAAATAAATAAGTCTTACAAAAAGAATACAGAAAATTAAAGGAATTCATCACCATCTTAAGGACCCTTAAGGAAGTACTATTTACAGAAACAAGGAAATGTAATCTGCATCATGAAAAGTCTGTTTAAGTGTCAAACCAACTAGACAAACAACAGAAGGTATTCGAAACAACCAAAAGAATTTCAAAGGAAAACGGGCAAGACCAGGTCATTACTTATTCATAATAACCTTGAATATAAATGAACTAAATTCCACAATTAAATCATACAGACAAAATCTGATAGGAGACTAAAAAGGTGTCCTAACTATTTAATTATCAAGAGATCTATTCAAAAAGAAGATATACTTGGGCCCTGCACCCCATGGGAGACCAGGATAAGTACCTGGCTCCTGCCATCGGATCAGCGTGGTGCGCCGGCAGCAGGGCGCCGGCCACGTGGCCATTGGAGAGTGAACCAACGGCAAAGGAAGACTTTCTCTCTGTCTCTCTCTCTCTCACTGTCCACTCTGCCTGTCAAAAAAAAATGTATATGCATTAATAGTAGAACATCCATATTTTTAAAAAGAAATGTTAATAGATCTAAAGAGAGATATAAGCACCAATATAATAATAACGGGGAAATATCAATCCCCCACTTTCATCAATGGACAGATCAACCAGCAAAAACAATCAAAAGGAAGTGGAAAAGTGGGTCAACATTATAGACCAAATGGACTCAATAGACATCTACAGACAATTCCATCACACAATTACAGAATATACATTCTTTTGATCAGCATATGAAAAGTTCCCTAGGATACACCACATACTAAGCCATAAAAAAGCATCAAAAATTCCATAACATTCGAAATAGTATCACATATATTTTTAATGACACAATGAGATAAAAGCTGGAAATTAATAACAAAAGAAACTGTGGCTATTAGACAAACACATGAAAAGTGAAAAACATGCTCCTGAATGAACAATGGGTTATTGAAGAAGTAAAAAGGAGAATTAATTTTCTTGATTGGAGCCAGCACTGTGGCACAGCAGATTAATGCCCTGGCCAGAAGCGCCGGCATCCCACGTGGACGCTGGTTCAAGACCCGGCTGCTCCACTTCCGATACAGTTCTCTGCTATGGCCTGGGAAACAATGGAAGATGGCCCAAGTCCTTGGGCCCCTGCACCCGTGTGGGAAACAAGAAGAAGCTCCTGGCTCCTGGCTTCGGATCAGCGCTGCTCCGGCAATTGCTGCCAATTGGGGAGTGAACCAATGGGTGGAAGACCTCTCTCTCTCCCTCTCTCTCTCTCTCTCTGAATGTGTGTGTGTGTGTGTGTGTAACTCTGACTTTCAAATAAATAAATAAATTTTTAAAAAATTTCCTTGAAACTCATGAAAATGGAAATACAACATATCAAAATTTATGAGATATAGAAAATGTAGTTTCATTGTTTTTGACAGCTGTATAGTATTCTATAGAGTACATGTCCTATAATTTCTTTATCCAGTCTACTGTTGATGGGCATTTGGGTTAGTTCCAGGTCTTAGCTATTGTGAATTGAGCTGCAATAAACATTAAGGTGCAGACAGCTTTTTTGTTTGCCAATTTAATTTCCTTTGGGTAGATTCCAAGGAGTGGAATGGCTGGGTCGAACAGTAGGGTTATATTCAGGTTTCTGAGGAATCTCCAGACTGACTTCCATAGCGGCTTAACCAGTTTGCAGTCCCACCAACAGTGGGTTAGTGTCCCTTTTTCCCCACATCCTCTCCACCATCTATTGTTGGTAGATTTCTGAATGTGAGCCATTCTAACTGGGGTGAGGTGAAAAATCATTGTGGTTTTGATTTGCATTTCCCTAATTGCTAGTGATGTTGAACATTTTTTCATGTGTCTGTTGGCCATTTGGATTTCCTCTTTTGAAAAATGTCTATTGAGGTCCTTGGCCCGTCTCTTAAGTGGGTTGTTTGTTTTGTTGTTGTGGAATTTCTTGATTTTTTTGTAGATTCTGGTTATCAACCCTTTATCAGTTGCATAGTTTGCAAATATATTTTCCCATTCTGTTGGTTGCCTCTTCACTTTCCTGACTGTTTCTTTTGCAGTACAGAAACTTCTCAATTTGATGCAATCCCAAATGTTAATTGTGGTTTTGACTGCCTGTGCTTCTGGGGTATTTTCCAAGAAGTCTTTGGCAGTAACTGTATCTTGCAGGGTTTTTCCAATGCTCTCTAGTAATTTGATGATGTCAGGTCGTAGATTTAAGTCTTTAATCCATGTTGAGTGAATTTTTCTCTACGGTGAAAGGTAGGGGTCTTGCTTCATACTGCGACATGTGGACATCCAGTTTTCCCAGCACCATTTATTGAATAGACTGTCCTTACTCCAAGGATTGGTTTTGTATCCTTGATCAAATATGACTTGGCTGTAGATGTTTGGGTTGATTTCTGGTGTTTCAATTCTGTTCCATTGGTCTATCCATCTGTTTCTGTACCAGTACCATGCTGTTTTGATAACAACTGCCCTGTAGTATGTCCTGAAATCTGGTATTGTGATGCCTCCGGCTTTGTTTTTGTTGTACAAGATTGCTTTAGCTATTCGAGGTCTCCTGTGTCTCCATGTAAGTTTCAGCACCATTTTTTCCAGGTCTGAGAAGAATGTCTTCGGTACCTTGATTGGTATCGAATTGAATCCTTAAATTGCTTTTGTGAGAATGGACATTTTGATGATATTGATTCTTCCAACCCATGAGCATGGAAGATTTTTCCATTTTTTGGTATCCTCTTCTATTTCTTTCTTTAAGGTTTTGTAATTTTCATTGTAGAGATCTTTAATGTCCTTGGTTTAGTTTATTCCAAGGTATTTGATTGTTTTTGTAGCTATTGTGAATGGGATTGATCTTAGAAGTTCTTTCTCAGCCGTGGTATCGCCTGTGAATACAAAGGCTGTTCATTTTTGTGCACTAATTTTATATCCGGCTACTTTGCCAAACTCTTCTATGAGTTCCAATAGTCTCTTAGTAGAGTTTTTTGGGTCCCCTAAATAAAGAATCATATCATCTGCAAAGAGGGATATTTTGACTTCTTCCTTCCCAATTTGTATCCCTTTAATTTCTTTTTCTTGCCTAATAGCTCTGGCTAGAACTTCCAGAACTATATTGAATAGCAGTGTTGACAGTGGGCATCCCTGTCTGGTACCAGATCTCAGTGGAAATGCTTCCAACTTTTCCCCATTCAATATGATGTTGGCCGTGGGTTTTTCATAAATTGCTTTGATTGTATTGAGGAATGTTCCTTCCATACCCAGTTTGCTTAGAGTTTTCATCATGAACGGGTGTTGAATTTTATCAAATGCTTTCTCTGCATCTATTGAGATAATCCTATGATATTCTCTTCTGCAGTCTGTTAATGTGGTGAATCATATTGATTGATTTGCGAATGTTGAACCATCCCTGCATACCAGGGATAAATCCCACTTGGTCTGGGTGGATGATCTTTCTGATGTGTTGTTGCATTCTATTGGCCAGAATTTTCTTAAGGATTTTTGCATTTATGTTCATCAGGGATATTGGTCTGTAATTCTCTTTCAATGCTGCATCTTTTTCCAGCTTAGGAATTAAAGGTGATGCTGGCTTCATAGAAAGAATTTGGGAGGACTCCCTCTTTTTTGATTGTTCTGAATAGTTTGAGAAGAATTGGAGTTAGTTCTTCTTTAAATGTCTGGTAGAATTCAGCAATGAATCCATCTGGTCCTGGGCTTTTCTTGGTTGGGAGGGCCTTTATTACTGTATCAATTTCTGTCTCAGTTATGAGTCTGTTTAGGTTTTCTATGTCTTCCTGGTTCAATTTAGGCAGGTTGCATGTGTCCAGGTTGCATGTATCCATTTCTGATAGGTTTCCCTGTTTGCTGGCATACAGGTTGTAGTAATTTCTGATGATTCTTTTTATTTCTGTGGTGTCTGTTGTTACATTTCCTTTTTCATCTCTGATTTTATTGATTTGGGTCTTTTCTCTTCTTTTTTTAGTTAGTTGGGCCAATAGGGTGTCAATTTTGTTTATTTTTTCAAAAAACCAGCTCCTCGTTTGGTTGATTTTTTGTAATGTTTTTTTTTTGGATTCAATCCTGTTGATTTCTTCTCTGATTTTA